AACCTAGCAAACCCTGCCCTGCTTGCCATCTGTAAGTATCTTCTTGTCTTGGTTATCTACTGCTGCTATAACAGAAATACCACAAGTGGATGGCTTTAAGAAAGAGAAGTTTATTCTCTCACAGTCTAGTAGGCTAGAAATCCAAATTCAGGATGCCAGCTCCAGGGGAAGGCTTTATCTCTCTGTCGGCTCTGGAGGAAGGTCCTTGTCATCAATCTTCCCCAGCTCTAGGAGCTTCTCTGTGCAGGAACCCTGGTTCCAAAGGATGCGCTCTGCTCCTGGTGCTGCTTTCTTGGTGGTATGAGGTCCCCCACTGTCTACTTGCTTCCCTTTCATCTCTTGTAAGATAAAAGGTGGTGCAGGCCACACCCCAGGGAAACTCCGTCTCCATGGGATCAGGGATGTGACCTGAGCAAGAGTGTTACAACCCACGCTAATCCTCTTTAACATAATCTTGCCTCATTAACCACAGGCAGAGATTAGGATTTACAACACATAGGAAAATTACATCAATCACAAAATGGAGGACACCCACACAATAATGGGAATCATGGCCTAGCCAAGGTGACACATATTTTGGGGGGACACAATTCAATCCATGACACTCCTACAATTTCAGCTTGCTGTTATCTTGTCATGGCTGCAGCCCCCAGGCCCTGCGTCACGGCATGCTGTGCCTCCTGTCCCTGAGACCGTGAATCTAATAAGCCTGTGACTTGTCCTCACCTCCGACTCCTCCTTCCCGCCTCGCACCTGACTTACCGTCCCATGAGTTTGTTTGAGCAGCGGGCCTATCGTTGGTACCTCTGACGCCTGCTCCACCTGTTCTCCTGGTGTCTGCCCAGTTTGGGTGGGGAGTAGATTCAACACGAGGAATGCAGATTCTGGCTGGGCTCTCTAAGCAGGGGTTCTCAGCCTGGAACCCCCTGGGCAACCTGGAAAACTGCTGATGCCCTGGGGACTGTGATGGGATTGGGCTGTAGTGTGGCCACAGGGCACCAGGGCTCTGTGGGTGGGCCAGCCTCTCTCCGGACACCCGACCCGGGCTCCAGTGACACCTCGTCTCCCTGTATCCCGGCAGCCCACAGCAGGTCGTGGATTTCTGCCGTTGCTACTCTGAGTCTCCTCACCAGCCCCTGACGATTCTCATCCTCTCTAGCACCCCATGGCCAGCTCTCTGCCCAAAACCCCGGACGTTATAAAATCTCTCCCTTGTTCACGTCCTCATCGTCATGTGGTCGCTGTTCGCTGCTGTCGAGTGGGCGCTGACTCATGCCCGCCCCACGCGCAGTGGAATGGAACGCTGCCCAGCCCTGTGCCGTTCCCCTGATCAGTTGTGGATCGGGCTGTTGTGACCCATTGGGTTTTCACCGGCTGACTTTTGGAAGCAGATCACCAGGCCTTTCTTCCTAGTCTGTCTTAGTCTGGAAGCTCCGCTGAAACCTGTTCAACATCACAAGACACAAGCCTCCATGGACAGACGGATGGTGGCTGAGCATGAGGTGCAGCGGCTGGGAATCGAACCTGGATCTCTAACATGAGAGAATTCTACTACCGCCCCAGGGTTAATTAATTGACTGTAATTAACACTTTAGTTCGTATTAGTGAAGTTGAAAGAAGCCCTGGTGGTGCAGTGGTTAAAGCGCTCAGCTGCTAACCAGAAGGTCGGTTAGAACCCACCAGGCACTCCGCGAGAGAAAGACGGGGCAGTCTGCTTCCGTAAAGATCAGTCTAGGAAACCCCAGGGCAGTCCTGCTCTGTCCTACAGGGTCCCTGTGAGTCGGAATCAACTGGATGGCAGTGGGTGGGAGTGAAGTTGATGAAACCAAACAGTGAATTTCTTCTATAATTCTGAAATCCTTTCTACCTAACTCTATCCGCTGATGTTTCAAATTCACGACCAAACACCAGGTACTTTGGAGAAGCCTCATCATGTGAAAACACAAACCATACAGCCTGCTCTGTCTCAGGTGGGTGAGAGGGGGCGGTCTCTTCCCCGTGACGTAACCGCGCTGTCCCACCGGGGCTGGGCTGACAGCCCCTTTGTGAAGAAGAGAAAGCAATCCCTGTGGGCAGACAAAAGCCAGATGGGTTGCCGGCTGCAGACGCTGACACTCGGGCTCTGTTTTCAAGTCAGAACAGGGCTGATCCTTTGCACTTGCAGAGCCTTTTATCCTCCCTCTCATTCTCTCAGCTGATCCTGCCCCAGCCTTTACCTAACGGCACCTGGTGGCACAATGGTTTACTGCTCGGCTGCGAACTGAAACGTTGGCTGTTCAAATCCACCTAGTGGCTCCGTGGGAGAAAAGACCTGGCAATCTGTTCCCGTAAACATACAGCCTAGAAAACCCTACTGGGCAGTTCTACTCTGTCACATGGGGTCGCTGTAAGTTAGAATGAACTCGAGGGCAATGGATTTGGTTTTGGTTCCACACTCCCTTAGCTGCCTAAGTGCCTGGAAGAGTTAGAATCAGCCATCCCACCTGCCGAACAGGTGACGGATGACATTTTAATATGAATGAGCTTCAGACAGTGTCACTTCACCATTATCTGCATAACTAAGCCTTTTCTGTCTTTACTGGGAATCAGAGGCTTCCTCTCCTGTTACATGGATTCTAGGCATCAGTGGGTAAGTGGGAGCTATTTTGGGAATAAAAGGGTGCCTGAAATTATGCTGCAATATAAAACGGCCTACACCTGAGAGTCAATCTGATTCTGTTCTTCTGAGATGACTGGATGGGGGCCATGGTGGCTCAGTGGTAGAACTCTCACCTTCCATGCTGGAGATCCGGGTTCGCTTCCCGGCCAATGCACCTCATGCTCAGCTACCATCTGTCTGTCAGTGGAGCACTGCACGTTGCTATGATGCTGAACAGGGTTCAGTGGAGTTTACAGGCTAAGACAGACTAGGAAGAAAGGGCTGGCAATCTACTTCTGAAAATTAACCAGTGAAAACCCCATGGATCACAATGATGTGATCAGTAATAGACCATGGAGATGGTGTGAGACTGGGCAGCGTTTTAGTCCACTGTGCATGGGGTTACCATGAGTCAGGCCTGAGCGGACAGCAGCTACCACCACCAACAAATGGGTACGTTTTCTGCAGGAACTCTTGCTTCATGGTAACAGTATTACCTGGGCTTTTGAGCCTCAGCTAAGTAAGGAGGATGTGGGCTAAGAGGCATCTTGGTGGCCCGATGAATGAATGGAACGATTAGAATGGCAGTAAATACTCCTTAAAGGAACCCTGGTGGCACAAACAGTTAAGCACTTGGCTGCTAACCTAAAGGTTGGTAGCTCGAACGCACCCAGCGGCTCCATGGGAGAAAGACCTGGAGATCCGCTTCCATAACGACTACAGCCTGTCTTCATGTGCTGTGGCATCGGCCTTCCTTCATTTGTGCTTGTGTCTGTGTCTACGCCACTCCTCGCAGGACTCAGGAGTCACTAGGTTTACCAGGTGACAATGTGATACACTGTTCACTGATAGGACCTCATTGACACGGAAAAGAAAACCTTGTTTGCAGAGAGCATCGCATCCAAAGTTACAGAGGTTACACGTACTTCTGAGGGACACAATTCAATCCATAATAGTGGGGATAGTGATGGTGGGGATGGGGATGGTGGGGGGA